CCTGTTTTTGGAATATAGCTCTGTTATTTCTTGATTGATTTTTTTTTTCAAAGATTTTATTTATTTATTTGACAGAGAGAGACACAGTGAGAGAGGGAACACAAGCAGGGGAAGAGGGAGAGGGAGAAGCAGGCTTCCCGCCGAGCAGGGAGCCCAATGCGGGGCTCGATCCCAGCACCCTGGGATCATGACCTGAGCCGAAGGCAGGCGCTTAACCACTTAGCCACCCAGGTGTCCCTTGATTATGTTTTAATACTTGTATTTGGCACAGTTGAGCAGCATTTAGAAACCAATAGCTTGACTTTCTGCATGCAAAGTAAACAACAGTGAGCTCTCTGTGTTTTAATATGGCTGCTTCTTTGTTTTCCATCAGTGTTTTTTTTCATTATTCTTTTCTCTTTTCCCTTCCCTTCCTACTCTGGTGGAAGGTATTTGATTACAACAGTATCTTGCTCTTCTCTGGTTCCCTCCCTAGGGAGAGTATGGTATGAATGGGTGCTGAACAGCTCAGTTTCACGTGTAGATGACTGGAGTTGTAAAGGACCGTGGATATCATCTGGTCTTTCATTTGCTCCTTCCCCTAGTGTCACTCACAGGGACCAGAGAAGCAGGGTCTAACAGGCTTTAAAGCGGGGGAACCCCAGATATAGGAGCGAGATTTCAGTGACCTTGTTCTGCATTAATACTCATAATAACAGTTTATATATATTCATTGTTAGAGGTTATTTCTAAATTGCGTATTTAAATCAAAGACTTCCAGTATGTGTTGATGAATGTGTAACATATCACCTTGATTTGTAAACTAATACGGGGTATTTTGTATCTCTCCCCCAGATGGCTCATAGTATTCATTTACCAGGGGTTTGTATTTAGGGTCTTAAGTGAAACATGGGTTGCCTGGATTTTTTCCAACTTGGTATAGGAACAGGTCTTTTTTTTTTTTTTTTTAAGATTTTATTTATTTCACAGAGAGAGACATAGCAAGAGGCAACACAAGCAGGGGGAGTGGGAGAGGGAGAAGC